AAAAAAAAAAAAAAAAAAAAGACAACAATGTGCACTTTGCAATACATTTCGTAACACGAAAGATCACAATTCTGGTTGACAAACTTTATATACACCCGAATACCGAGTCCACTCAAACTTTGTGGCTTGCAGGGAAGACAAACAAGACACTGAACGTCGAGGTTATTGAAAATTTATTTTCACACTTCATGTTTTTAAAACAATGGAAAGAAGGCACTCACTCCCACTTGTCCAAAATTACAAATGCCTCAGGGCACTAAATTCAGACACTTTACAGGCATGACTTGCATAATATGTTGACCATCTGTTAAAAATGTTAAAATCAAGGAGAACGTTTTTTATAAAAGAGAAGAGAAGTTATGTAATTGTCTGCCATAATTGTACTAATGCACCGAGAAGAAGTCAACATCCAACCTCAACGGTCAACATTACTGAAATGAAAATAGCTGAAAATAGCTTAACTATTACTTGTGATATGGACGAAATTTTCAATAAGTTAAATCGAATTTGGATACGGAATATTTAGAATTCAGGTAATGTTTAGATAATAAATCGCAAATAAAAAGGGTCAAGTTGAGATGGGCATTTTTAAAAAAAATTATCAAAAATCCAATCACGTCTTTAAAGTTTAATAATTGGTTACAACCGTCGCCTTTACCTTAAATTATACAGGGCATTCACCTCGCTTTATAATGGATTCTTCTCTACCGGTTAACGAGGATTCTTACCCCTAAAGATAAATATTGAACTTTTGCCTACGTAATTATAACAAGTTCATTGAACTCATATAAACCACATGATAAATCATGTAGCCGGCTAATGACCCTAGCAAAGCACATCTTCTAATGTAAAGGTGCATACAGGACAACTTGATCCGCGTACTAACAGATCCCCGGATCAAGTATGGCTGACCCGCTTACAATCTTGCCGCACTATCCCCTATTAGACACTGAAGAGATTCACTTCGGAATCAAGTGGGTCGGCCATATTTCATTCGTGAATCTTTTAGTTTACGGATCAACTTAAGTTGTGAATGAAGCCTAAGCTGGCGAGGAATGTTAATTTGCAAGTTGTCTTCGTATACCAGATATCCTAATGTAGCGGCTTTGATATTTTGGTAGGCAGGGGACAGTTTAGTTTCGAGTCAGCGAATTTTGAACGTGCTGTTAACAAATTACAACTTAATAATTTTTTTAAATTATTGAATTGATGAAATAGGCAACAAAGCCGACATTTGTTAAAAATGACCTAATACCTGTGTGTGCGCGCGCGCGTGTGTGTGTGTGTGTGCAAACACAGTTGCTAATTCGAGAATGTATTTGCAAATACCCCAGTATGCATTCGGATGATTCAGTCATGTCCTAAGCAACCAAATTTAGAAACTTGCTAAGAACATACAGGTATTATTTTCTTCAACATGTTTTGTTGTCTCATCCGTTATCTAGGTCAAACTCGCCAGGAGGACATATTACCTTTAGAGTCCGTCATAAAGAGTGGTTTATTGTGTGATATAAACAATTAAAAAGTGTCAGTTGGTCTCACAAACAGATGACAGTGGGCAGGGGGGTAGGGCGGCAGCGGACACACCAAACTATGACCATTATTTCCCGACAATGATAACCTATCAAGCCTTGACATCGGTCAACTTATTATGGGTGATAGGTATCGACATTTAGAACGGTTCGAAATTGTTTCTTACATATCAAATGGTCGTTATAGATTCTCTTTAATGGGTTTCTGTATATACGTTATGATGATCATAGATAGAATCATTAATTAAGCGGGAAAGTGCTTCAAATTCAGTTTCTATGATCGATAATTCTTACTGCAAGGGTTAGAGGTTAAATAGGGTAGCAAAAAGTGCAGTGTGTGTGTGTGTGTGTGTGTGCGCGCGCGCGCGCGCGTGAGTGAGAGAGAGTGAGATTCTGTGTGTAAGAAAGTGAATTCTTTCACAAAAATTGTCTCTGTTACTAAAAAATATCTATATTGATGATAAGACTGCATATATTCAGTATCAGGAAAAAGAGTTATGAAACTTGTTATATCACGTATAGATATTGCGAACAGGTAATAATTCACTATTCACTTTGATGAATGCATTATTTCTTCTTTTTAGTTCTAATTAATTAACAGTAATTAATTGTGAAATGAGGGGAACTTGAATACACCCAACCATATATTTTACATAAAATGAAACCTTAAGAGGAAGATCTTTTATTTCCCTGCAGTGTTTGCCAGGAGTAGAAATTCAGACATATTTAACAATGTCATTTTTTATCTTTAATACATGTATCAAACTTGACTTTCATTTTGGCGAAAGGCTGCTCGTGTCATCATTACAGTCTGAACTTCAATATGAGAGTTTGTTTTCTCTGCATTCACTGAATTTTGTCGAACGCTTTTCACATAACACTCTCTTTAACTTATGAAGAAGACAAAGAAAAGAATTGTTCCCCAAAACAAGAAAAATATAAAAATCTTTATGGTTCTCCCAGCTTAATACGATACCCATTAAATAATAACATTTCCACCTACCACGAAAGAAACTCATCACAGAAAACAACCCCCATTCATAGGCAGAGAGACATTAATTCATATTTCTGAACAATGTTCGTTGGTTGTTACGGAGATAATGGGTCGTGTAGCGGTAATGGGAATGTCGAAGTGAATTCCTAAGACAACCGTTAGGTACGCTGTTTAAATTACAATCAACACGGAGAGTGCGTTATAAATACAGCAAGCGGAAGCAAGTTCGCCGCACTTTTACGCCGAAATATATTGTAGAACGTTGTATGTCCTATTTGTACGCCAAGATGATGAAGTTGGTGGTCCTCGCTCTCCTCGTGGCTGCTGTGGCCGCTTTTAACGTTTACCGTGATAACTACGCCTATAACTACGGTTATCAGACAGCGGGATACGCCAAGGCCCCTGAGATCACCTACAACAGAGGATACCCCAGAAACTACTTCTCTGGGTATGTGGACGGGATACCTTTTCTTTTTCTTTTATTTTCTTTCTTTCTTTCATTCTTTCTTTTTTTTTTACTGAAATATTATTTAAGAATTTGAGGTCAAAATTTCAAAAGCAATTTTATCACAACAAATCAATAATGTGTATTACTGCTCAGTTTACTTGAAAACGTTCTTTTCATCGTTTAAAATTCTTTCTCTTTGAGCACAAAATTGAGTATATCAGATATTCAAAAAGCTGCCAGGATTGTTGAAACTACACATTCTTCAAAAGTGCAAAACGAACAATATTCAACTTTTCACGGTGATTTCAGAAATGAAAAATGTTTTCTTGTGTAAACACCCTTTAGTCAGACAAAATAAATAATTAAATAAAAGAAAAAAACGCACTAATTCTCTTCTACTCAGTGTTTTAATTGATACAATAATACAATCATATTTCAATTAACAGCTGCAGAGGTCACGTGTACAACACACATTTCGAGGACTGTTGTGGTGGAGTAGCCGTCTATGACCGCAGGTACCAGGACTGCTGTGGCGGACGCCTGGTAGTGGACAAACCCGCCCAATGTCCAAGCCACTACGGCTACGGCAAGAAATATTAAACCGGACGTCTGACAGTTGAACGTCACGCCTGGAGACTACACGTATCTAGCGGTAGCCTGACGTAGAGCGGCGTTGACGCGTTCCGGGCCTCCACGCGTATCATCCAAAATATTACAATGAAATAACACTGCTGCAGTTTTTAAAGACAAGCAACTGACTTTTTTATTTTCAAATTGTTATGGGTGATACTTAGGACTTCTACAAACTTTTAGTGACGTTTGAATTTTCTGAAAAAGACTTGGATTAATCTACATCACAATCAGTATTAACAGTCTATGTATTTAGTTCATGGTAATGTCTAGTGTATGACGTGTGGCACATTTTATCCTTCCTTCACCAAATAAAGTGCTACTGAAGAAACTGAATTGTTTCATTATTGTATGTCTATGGAACGCCGTTTGTACAAAAAAAAAGATGAAAGTATCATTTTGACAGGAAAACATTTTTGCGAGGTGTTTACATCACTTTGAGATCGTCACTTTCATTATTTTGACAAGAATTTTTTTTGCAAGGTGCTAACATCATTTTGTCATTATGTCATTTTTATTATTATTATTATCATTATGTTGTACCAACTGAATACATGTACTTTCTAACAGGACCACAGAAAGATTTTTCTCTAGATATTCACAGATATATCCTTGACTAAATCTGTGCATATTTCGGTATTATTATAATTTTTTGACACCGAGTTAAAGAAATGGCGTCATTGCGCAGTTGGTCTCTGGTGCAGATTGCCCATAGCACGTGTACCCTCTGATGTCAGAAATCTAAAACAGTTTACAAAATTAATTGTCACAGTCTACTAGCAGGCCCTGCGATCAGTGTATAGAACATGTATGGCGGAGCGGCTTAATGAACGCCACGATAACAACAGCCTATAAGTTTTGATAATGTATCAAGGTAGTTATAATATCTGCCGGGTATAATTCACGGTCTTTATCTTCACGTCCACATAGACCTCGCGCGCGCACGCGTGAACCACCCATTATTCTTTTTTCCACTCATAGACCCGTTTTACACGAATCTGCCATGGGTTAATTCGTTACCCTCTTTCTTCATCTACCTCTCTCTCTCTCCCTTTCTCTCTCCAGCCATGTTTGTACCCTCTACTAGATATTCACAGATATGTCTCTGGTTAAATTCACAACACAAATTTCTGCTGTGTCGCTTTGGAGAAAAAATCACACAATTAATCGGCATCCCTGGTAGATGATGTGTTTTTTTATCTTTCTGAACTTGTCACACGGGATGAAACGTCTTCATTTTTGTTGCAGAAAACATCAGCTTTGTTCCACCATGGCGGGCGAAGGCACCTATCAATGGTCACTGGATGACGACTCCCTCAAGAAAGCCGCCAAAGAACTGAACGAAGACAGCAAACAGAGAGCCTCCCAGATCGACTCTCTGAGGACCTGGGTGAAGAAACAGCCACACATAACTTCACGAACAGGTAACATTTAGTAGGCGGGGCAAGGGACGGCGTGGAGAGAGGTGACCTTTCTCAAATACAGTTTAGCTCCAGCCGCTTTCATATTCTTAAAAAGACAAGAAAGGTAACATCATCTCCCCTTCTTTCTGAACTTCCTGACCTCTGCCGAAGATATTGAAGATAAGGATCATGAAAACCATAAATTAGCCAAAAGAACAATGATATTTATTAGGTACAGATTGACCGACATGTATTAGACCTATCAAAAATGGACCTATTAGACCCTGGTAAAGATTCCTATCTGGTCTTCATGATGATGGTCATTGTTTATTATTATCATCACGAAGGCAGCGTTTGGAGGTATGACATTTTGAAGGGTTTGGCCTAGCTGTCTGACTTTCCAGTGAAACGGGACGATTAAGGGTGCTTTCCCAGAGATTTAGATCGATCTAAAGATTAAGTTTTAGATCGACCTAACTCCCTGGGGGTTCAGGCTAAATTGCAGTCAGCCGAGCGGACACCATAGTTAATTACCCCCTTACAGCTTTTAGTAGGCGGGACAGACGCTTAAGCCGGCCAAGCTGACAGTAATCTAGTGAGACTCCCCATGGGGATAGATCGATCTAAAATCTCTAGGAATGCGCCCTTTGATGGCAGAGTAAGAGTAAGATCGATCTAAATCTCTGGGAATGCCCTCAAAGTTGTGTTGAGTTGTGTCTCAACTTCCCACTATTCCAGACGACGCGTTCCTGCTGCGTTTCCTCCGCACCAGTAAGTTCAGCATGTTAAGGGCCCAGCAGATGTTGGACAAGTTTTGTACGGTCAGGTCGTCACAGGAGAAGGGCGTCCCCCTTTGGTTCAAGGATTTGGACCCCGAGGACCCCAAAATATTGGAACTCTTGGATATCGGGTAGGTACGATTTCTCGTGACCTGCAGACATTGCTTACCATTATGGGTATTTTTAAGATATTGACAAAAATCGGTGAGCGCTCAGGGTACACGCGGATATGACTGATGCTATAATAGCCCAAAACCAAGGTATTTTTTCAGTCTAAATGAGACAAGAGCAAATTCTCAGAAGATTATATTCCAATCATTTAACTTAGTTATCTGAAGGGAAACCGACTGGTGCACCTCAGACACTTACTTTTCATTTTTAAAATAGTGTTGTTTTTTTTAATATTTCGTCTAGGACCTGCCTCCCACTGCCAGGGAGAGACGACCAAAATAGGAAGGTTATGCTATACAGAACTGGTAAGACTGTATATATGTCCCATATCATTGTTCGAATCGTTTCATGTATATTTCTTTCTCTTTGTGCTATCTCTTTATATTTTATTAACGTCTTTTAAATATATATTATTTTTTATAAAATGGGACGTACACTTTTGTAAAAATTTATCTCTATTTCTATATCTCAGAACAAGAGAGTTGAATGTATTTGGAGAGAGAGAGAGAGAGAGAGAGAGAGAGAGGGGGAGAAGGGATCGAGAGAGAGAAAGAGTGTCCCAGTCCAGCTTTACTATTTAATTTCACACAAATCTTTCTAGGTGCTTTCGATCCAAAAGTCCACGACTTCTCTGACGTGATGAGACTGGGGTTCATCACCACAGACATCCTCCTGATGGACGAGCTGAACCAGATCCACGGTTTTGTCATCTTACTGGACTTCTCGGAGTTCGGTATGAGTCACGTGACCTGCTGGGGTCCGGATACCGTCTCTAAGGCAATGATGTGCTGGCAGGTAAGGTTGATCTTCTTCAAAGGGCTCATTTCCATTGAGACTATTGGTTTACGTATCTCGCTGCATGCAGTTGGATTAACAGACTTAGGGCGCATTCCCTTAGATTTTAGATCGATCTATCCCCGTGGGGAGTCTCACTAGATTACTGTCAGATAATCCGGCTTAAATGTCCATCCCGCCTACTACTAGCTGTAAGGGGGTAATTAACTTTCGTGCCCGCTCGGCTGACAGCTATTTAGCGTGAACCCCCAGGGAGTTAGGTCGATCTAGTTGGATCGATCTAATTTCTGGTAATGGGGTCTAACACATCTCCTCCTGGCGTTGAGTAAAATACAGAAAAGCTGGCGATTATACGAGCAAGTTGGAAACAGGAGTAGGCGTAAGTGTGTTAATCTGTTACACTGATTGCATTCAGCAAGAGTCCTCGCAGAGTTGGAGCGATATACGTAGAGTCTGAATAACTTTTATCAACAATCATCGCTCAGGACTCCTATGAAATGTCCGAAATATGTAAATAGAAGCAGATATGATGTGAGATTGAAGAAATTAAATGTGTCAAGAGTGTTTAGATGTTTCGTAAACTTTATTAACCGTTTATTAGAATTTTTAGTTGTGTGTATTTTCATTTCTTCTCACCTGTTGGTGTTTAAAGCAGTATCGGCAAGAAGAACTCCTCTGCCAACTTGATTAATTGATTTTTTTTCATGCGTTTAATACTAAAATTTACTAAGAACTATATTTTCTATATATTGCTATCACATTAAGTGTGTTATAAAATGTTATATCAATTATTCTTCTACAGGATTGCTACTCCACCAGGAACAAAGCTATGACATAAAGTGTGTTATAAAATGTTATATCAATTATTCTTCTACAGGATTGCTACTCCACCAGGAACAAAGCTATGACATAAAGTGTGTTATAAAATGTTATATCAATTATTCTTCTACAGGATTGCTAC